ACACAGTGAAACAGAACGAGAAAAAAAACTATGTGTCGTGCAAAGACATCACGTCAAATGTGAGGCGATGTCTGTATACGTTCTATCTTGTGCAAGAAGAGATATCTCCTTATTTGCTATAGTCCTAATATAAAATAGAAAAGAAAATACGTGATGTAATCGAACAATATCATTCGAACAAAAATATTGATTCATGGTGGGAAAAAACCCAAGAGGAGAAAGAGAAAAGAAATTACCCAGTGAATAGGACTTTGTCATAAATATAAGGCTCCGGATTCTATCGAGATATTATCAATTTACATTTGGCGCACAGCACAACACAGCATTCTCGTAAGTATTCATTCATCACTTCTTATTTTTTTGCAATATAAAAAACAACTTTTAACAGGTCAACCAATAAACTATCAGTTTTACGATGTTTTCATCTAACAGTAAGTTTAAATAAATTAGCAATCACTAAATTCTATGTAATTTCGTACAACTTGAGAAAGTGACGCCGATATGTAGTAAAAAAATAAGACATTCATTTTTATTTTATGGCTATATAGTAGACTGATTTGTATTGAATTGGATACAGGTCAGCCTTTGATTAGTTTTCAATATTACACTTCTAATCTTTGTTATGATTCTTGTCGATCGACTTCTTTTTCAATTTTTTCTCATTTATTTTTTTCATTCAATCGTAGTTACGATCGAGCGGAAAAGATGGGTGGCATAAAATGCAATGAATGCGGTGTTACTGTTAGCAGTGTAGCTGCGGCATTACGTTTATTAGCTGATCTCGGCACAGTGATTCTGGAGCGAATACCGCGTCTGGCTTGCATCAGCGCCGGAGCTAATTGCAGTACTACAGGTAATAAGAGTTCAATTAATTACACTTGTGAAGGGAGGAAATGAATGATATTTCTTTTAGAGAGCGGGATCCTTGCTGAACAATACAACGGTCGAGGATATAAATGTGTCAATGGACATTCAGGTCGTTGGGTGGATGCTTGAAAGTTTATTTGAAGGCGCATGAAAGCCAGAACTTGACAATATCGCTCTTACAACTAGCGGCCAATTTCTCATCATTGTTCTTTCCACATAATCACGACTTTGCAGTTTTTTGCGTTCGTGATATCTTCTTACCTTCGAATCTTTTCTTCTTGTTGAATAAAGGTATTATAAACAAGGAATTATTTTCCGACGCGCAGTGATCACAGCAAAAATGCACGGAGCGTCTTCTTTTACATTCTTAAACAAATTCATTATTTTCGTGATGTTCACAAGCATTGAAAATCGTATATGGACAACAGTTTTTGAAAGGACTTGCAATGTGATTAGTACATGTAAATGCCAATAAGTAGGATTTGAGGCGTAAGTCTTCCGCGTCTGTCGCACTGAAAACCCTGATTCCAGAGGCAAGTCGATTTGATTGAGCGGCATAAGAATCGGATATCGTAAAAATTACTTACATTCTTTTTCTGATGTTGACATTGTTAGAAGACAAAAAGATCCGTGTGGCAGCTTTTGCTTTTATTATTCTGTAAACACAGGGACAGAAAATTTCCCTATTCATATATGCGTTGTTGAATCATCTGGCCTTCTATTCCGCCTCTTTTTTTCTATAAATCCTCCTTTAGGTCTCTTTTTGGGGAAAAATCCTGTTTTTCCTCTTTTTTCCCCGAACACAGTACCTATTGAAGAACAAATTCGTTATTGTTGGTTCATCCGGTGGATCATGTCACCACGTATTTTTACTCTTGACTAATGGTATCGATCACATAGGATGATTCGTGCTATCCCCATCCATCTGAATGAGGACATTGGACACAGCTCATATGAGCTTTTTATAGAGTAAAAGTATCGTAGGGCATAGGCCATGTGAGCTTTGTCGATTAAACAGAATGACTTTCAGGCATGATTAACAAAAAGAAATGAACTGTTATCCCGTCGTATATTAGCAACCGATTTTCCTTTTTTACCTCCAGAGAAACTTGATCCAACAAACTATGATCCTATAAGTGGTATAACTTTCTGTGCACAATTTATAGTGAATATTGAGAATCCAAAACTTTAATGGAACGAAATTAATTCATCAGTCGAACAACAATATAAGACTTTAATATTCAATTGACTAAATATTGTAATTTTACTTAAGTTTATTCTCTTGGATGAAATTCATTTGATTTACGGACTGTTTCGGAGCATGAATCTACTGGTAGAATATTATAGAACTGATTACATTTCGTCATAGAGTAGCAGCTAAGTGTTTATAAGTTAAAAAGATTGTCTCTCTAGGTAGCCTTTGGCAGAAAATCAGAGGATTTTAGCCAAAATTAGCTGAAATTAGCTGATAATTTCTCTTCAGAAGCAGTCAAAAATTAGCTGTAGTTAGCAATGGTAGTTTTTGCGAACATCTTGGAAAACTCAGATTTAGACTAGAATTGTAAACATTGCTGTTCGAAAAAAACGAAATTTTTCATAGATGAATTTTTTTGCCATGTTAGTCTGACTCAAAAAAATTCAAAAGCAATGGATTTTGTTCAGTTTTAGATGGGCTTACATATAAGATGTCGCTCGAAAAATCGGACGAGAAATGGCGGAGTTATCATAAAATTAACGTTAAAACCCATTTATTATTTTGCACCAATTAACCATCGCTAGACTACTTTAAAATTATTGCACAAAATGAGTTCTACTGTTTCACTCTATAATTTGAACATGACTTTAAACGTATGGAATTTTTTAAATGCATCAAATGAACTATTGGCTGTTAAACTTGTCTGGTTCGTATCGGGAAATTCCGTCATGTAGTTCATCTATTATATCGTCCAAATCTTTTATCAGTTTAACAAATACAAAACTGGAATAATTTGCCTATTTCTTTTCTGTTATTCAATTCTACAGTTTTAAACATGACTATTGTATAAAAAACAACAACTGTTAAGAGAATAAACAAACAATCTGCGGGCAAAAATTAAACAACACATATATTTACTTAACTTACATATATTTAACAAGAACAAACAGAATGACTACCATTTATTTAGTGGATAACATCTTTCTTCCGGTTTCCATAAAGGATCAAATTTTTGTTTAAATGGATCGGGTGCTAAAGCATCGACTACCTCCATATCGGAATGAATCGTCAATGATCGAGCATGAAGCATAATACGATGAGGTTTATAGTCAATCGGATGAGTGTAAATATAATCACCTATTACAGGATGTCCGATATGAGCTAAAAATAAAATAGGAAATAAAATAGAAACTTATAAAAGTAGTAAATAAAGTAAACGAACTATAAAAGATAAATATTTTACATACCTAAATGTAGTCGAATTTGATGTCGTTTACCCGTCAATATCCTCACCAGACATTTTGCTGCCGGTTTTCCATCATATGTCCTTCGTTGTAGAATATCGACATGTGTTTGAGCTGGTTTTGGCATATTACAATATTCAAAATCATCTGTACACATAATACGTCCATAACTGGCTGCATTTTCCCCAATCGCTTTATCGATAAAACTTGGATATGGCGAATGAATATGACCGTGCACGAGAGTGAGATAATATTTGATAGCACGTTTTTCAACAAAGGCCTTATAAGCAAGAGCAGCAGCTACATCTGATTTAGCAAAACACATACAACCGGAAGTATCTAGTAGAAAAATAAATATTTATTAAAACAAATATTATTTATATTATTTATATTTATAAACAAATATTAAATATTTGTTAACAAAAATTTCGAGATCAACAGTTGACATTCTATTTTATTTAAACAATTGAAAACTTTAATCATAATCAACTATATAAAACCTATTGGTGAACATACGTTTCTATCTATCTATATATGTGATTTACCGTTCGATTTAGCAAATACTGAAGTACTGGCATTTAGACGTTTCTTCTTCTTATAAATATGTTCAGAAAAAGATGAGAAAAAGAAAGATAATTGTAAGATACACGTATAGTCGGATAGGATAGAAATACACATCAGTCGATTCAGGTTTTGATCCTGATTTCGAATAGGCTATCTTTATTGCTCAAAAGTTGAGTTCTGATCGAGAAAATTGGGAATTACGGGCAGAATTTCGACTTTTTCGCCTCTGATTTAGAAAAAATGATTTGATCCAAAAATTTGATCCTTTATGGAAACCGGAAGAAAGATGTTATCCACTAAATAAATGGTAGTCATTCTGTTTGTTCTTGTTAAATATATGTAAGTTAAGTAAATATATGTGTTGTTTAATTTTTGCCCGCAGATTGTTTGTTTATTCTCTTAACAGTTGTTGTTTTTTATACAATAGTCATGTTTAAAACTGTAGAATTGAATAACAGAAAAGAAATAGGCAAATTATTCCAGTTTTGTATTTGTTAAACTGATAAAAGATTTGGACGATATAATAAATGAACTACATGATGGAAATGATTTTTCTCAGCACCATAAAAAACTGTTCGTATAGTTTGAAGCTGAGCTTCTAGCTAATCTAACCACGTAAAAATATTGGCTCTACTACCGCTAGAAAAACCTGTGATACGTTTGCAAATTTGGGTGCCATCTTTGAACTATGTACATTGCAAAATTTTTTGTGAATAGACGTTTGTTTCTAAAAATGTTTCAAGACCACAATTCAGTTTTAGATGCTGCATACAAAAATACTTTGTTTCGAGCGTTGAAAGCCTAACGCAAAAAAAACTACGGCCATTTTTTGAAACCTTACATTTTTCCGTGTTTTGACACCCTTTCAGTATTTTGAGTTTTCGACCGGAAAAAAGTATGAGAAAAAATCGAGACACATATATTTGTGGTCAGCTCGAAATCCTCTGGCCAACGGTATATAATATGTTCGAAAATAAAATTCACTCGAACTTTGAATTACGTGCATCTTAGAAAAGAACGGATGTCAAATCACACATATATATAAACTTACATATATGGGAGTCTGTTCATCGGCATGCACTGATTTTCAGTCGAAAACATCAAACATTCTAACTAAAAGAAAATGTTAATTGTTCATCTCGTTATAAATAATTGAGGTCTATTTCAATCTTATATCATCAAATAAAATTGGATTATTTTTAAAAAAAAGATAGTAAAATTATTACCTAAATCTAATCTATGTATATAACGTATAAACTGTGCTTTTTCTTTAGATGTTTCTTCAAATAGTTCTAGTTGTGCCTTTCCTTCATTAGTTTCGCTTAAAACATCTGTTTCTAATTTATCTGTCATTGTATTTTCTGATTTGTCAACTAACTGTTCATCGTGATATTTAATTAAAGCTCGTTTATAAAATAGACTTCGAGTTTGTTCTGAAATATTCACTTGTGCTGGTGCTTGAAATGAATCGATTGGAACCAAATCATCTTTATTTACAACAATATAATTTCTCGATTCATATATAATTTGTATGTCGTCCATTGATGTTGGATAACGGTAGTGAGGAGAACGTTGTAGACGATACCACTGGACAATGGTGGAATACC